TGGTGAAGAAAGAGAGGAAAGGGTGGAACGGTGATGATGGCTAGGAAGAGCGGAGAGAACAGCGAATAAAGTTGAAAAGGTGGTAGGAGAGATGGTGGAAGGGTGGATGAAGGGAATCGTGTGAGAAGAGGTGATAAAGGGTGTGGGAATGGGAGAATTAAAAAAAAAAATGAAGAGTTAAAAAGTGGTGGGGGAGAAATAAATGATGGAAGGAAGGAAAAGAAAAGAGCGGAAGAAGGGTAGGATGAAAATAAACGGAGGTGAAAGGAGTTTGAAAGGTAAAGGGAAAGAAAGGTAGAAGAAGAGAAGAAATTCGTGCGAAATGTGATGGAAAGAAGGACGTGGAAAGAAGGAGAGGGAAGGTGGAAAGAAAATGAAAGAGACGAAGAAAGAAAGAAGAAAAACGAGAAACAAATATAACAGAAGCTGGTATGAGAAGTGATGGTAGAAAAGAAATAAAAGGAAATGGAAAAAGGACGAAATTAAGAAATGAAAGGAGAAGGAGCGGGGGGGGGGGATGGAAGGAAGGAAGAAGTGAAGAACGATGAAAGAGGCTTCCTTGTGTGCGAGGAGAAGTGGTGGTCGTGTGAGAAGTGGAAGAAGAAGAAGAGAGATAGAAGAAAGAAAGAAAAAAAAGGATAAAGAAGGAGAGGAGTTTTCCTACGTGTTAGTGAAGAGAATAAAGTGAAGCATAATTATTTTTTTAATGAAAAGAAATGAGGAAAGGTAAAGAAGTAAATAAATGAAAAAAAATGTAAGAAAAGAGAATGAGAGGAGAACAGAAAAATGGAAGGAAAATGGAAAGAAAAAACATCGAGAAGAAGACTGGAGGAAGAGAGTTGAAAGATTACATAGTGAAGGACATCCTCTTCCTGAGAAGAGAAGAGGAAATGACGAAGGGAATCAAAGGAAAAGACGGAACGAAAGGGGAAATGAAAAATAGAATTAAACAGACGAAAAGTCAGTATTTAAGAATAAAGACATGAAAGTTTTTCCCATATTGGCGGAAAAGAGGGATGTGGTGTGTGAAAAGAAATAGCGAAAGGGGAGTAAAGAGCGGAGAGAACAAACGTGATAAAACAGGAGGTAAAGTGAAAAGTGGAAGAAATGTGTGATAAAACAGGTAGAATATGGAAGCCGTTAAGATGACTTTTTGAATTCAAGGAAAACTATTTCAATTAAAAGGAAAAAAAGAAAGAAGGTAAAGAAAGGAAAAAAATAAAAATAAAAAACAAGGAAACAGTCGTTTGTCTCAAAAGAAAAGGAAATAAGTGATAAATGAATGATCAGGAGAAAAAAAAACTTGAGGAGGTTAATATGGAGAAAGTAGAAGTGAATCTAAAATGTATTTAAATGTATTCAAATATAGAAGTGTGATAGAAGATAGAAAATATAGTAAGGGAGAATGAAAGATAAACGAAGAAGAAAACTGAATGAAACAAGAAAGAGAGGGAAAGATAGAAAGGCAGAAAGAAGGAGAAAGAGGAAAGGGAAAAAAATCATAGATACACGTGTAGATAGTGAGTGAGAGAGAGAAAGAGAAAGAGAGAGAGAGAGAGAGAGAGAGAGAGAGAGAGAGAGAGAGAGAGAGAGAGAGAGAGAGAGAGAGAGAGAGAGAGAGAGAGAGGGAGGGGGAGGGAGAGGGAGAGAGAGAGAGAGAGAGAGAGAGAGAGAGGGAGGAGGGAGAGAGAGGGAGAGAGAGAGAGAGAGAGAGAGAGAGAGAGAGAGAGAGAGAGAGAGAGAGAGAGAGAGAGAGAGAGAGAGAGAGAGAGAGAGAGAGAGAGAGAGGGAGAGAGAGAGAGAGAGAGAAAGAGAGAGAAAGAGAGAGAAAGAGAGAGAGAGATAGAGAGACGGACAGACAGACAGACAGAAACAGAGAGACGGAGACAGATACAGAGAGACGGAGACAGATACAGAGAAAGAGAGAGAGGCAGACAGTTAGAGACAGACATGAGAGAGACAGAGAGACAGAGACAGACAGACAGAGAGAGGATATACCCAGCAGTAATACAGACAAACAAACAAACAAAGCTTATAATTATCTTATGAATATTTCACCTAGAGTCTACCAGCAAAAAATTAAAGATTTTGAAGAATAGTAATTAAAAAAAAAACAATATTTTTTTATTTATTTATTCCTTTAACGATTACGACAGCAATAACCACACACATCGCCTGTATGTTTAAGATCAACACACGCACAGTGAGAGATAACACTCAGTCGTACCGGAAGACTAACATTTGCAGTGCGTAAGTCAACATAATTTCAGGGAAAGATGAGGCAAAATAATAGTTGTAGTTCACGCTTTCTCGAGTATACATACATGTACAGTTTTTTTTTTTCCTTCTGTATATTTGCTCGGCGAGTTGGTCAAGTCTTGTATAACTAGGTAGAGTAAAGATACTCTAAACATCCACGCGTCATGTTCCCCAATTATGTTCTCTAAGTATGTTCTCCAATTATGTTCTCAAACTACGTTCTCTCGGCCGTTTTCTTCCT